AGTATCCTTAACCGGTAAGAATACTGGAGATTTAACCATGTCGAATGGTTTCGAACCCTCTCCAAGGTTCAAATGCACCCTTCTTCCAGGGCCCCCTCTTCCGGGTGATTAAGTCTTTTAATGGCCCTTTGATTTCTACCATCCCGGGGAGGCCTTAGCTCACCCCCCCGTTCAAGTCTTCCCTGAGAAGGGGGATACAGGATGCGCCACGGTGGACGATCCCCTTCTATTTCTTTTAATGGGCATCTTTTTAGTCCCCAATCAATTTGACGGCGTCGGCTGATTCCCCGACACCAGTCAAACCTCATGGGCCCGTGTAAGTACGGTTCGAACCCTCTTCCAGGTCCAGCCCTCTTGCAGGCATACCCTCTTCCGGGCCCCTCTTCCGGGTTTTAATATTTTTTCTATTATACTGAGCGAGACCGGTGTAGTAATCAGCGTGCCAGGTCCGGGCCTGTGTCTCAGTCGGCTTATCTAAGTGGATTCGATCCACCCAGGAAGCCCTCCTAGGATAGGTTCGACCTATCAATTCTGCCGCTACCAAGTAGAGTATTGAACATCACTTTGATTGATAATGAAGTAGGTCTTGCCTAGTATTACAATCATTTGTAGAACTTGCGAAGATGATGGGAATTCCAGGTTCTTTCTACCGGTACACCTTCAAGAGTTTCTAACCAGTAGGTTCCCGGGCGAATGATAGCTCTCACCCGGTAAGGTCCTTCCCAGTTTTTGGCCAGCTTTCCTCTGTCTCCCGGTCTACTAGCCTCCCTTCTTCGCAGGACTTCATCGCCGACTTGAAAGTATCGCGGCCCAACCTTGTTGTCGTGGTACTTCTTCACGACTTGTTGATATGTGCTCATTTTAACTTCCGCGGCCATTCTTCGCTCTTCGACCAAGTTGAGTTCGGCCAAGTGGTCTTCTTCATTTTTTTGGGGTTGATAACTTGATTCCCGGAACGTTGGGAATTCAGCTTCGATGGGCAGCCTTGCTTCACACCCATAGGTTAGGGAGAATGGAGTTTCCCCGTGAGCCCTCCTAGGTGTTACTCGGAACGCCCATACGATGTGTGGGAGCTCTTCCAGCCACTTGTTTCCTGCTTCTCCCAGCCGTTTCTTTAGACCATCCACAATCGTTCGGTTGGCGTTTTCGACTTGGCCATTCCCTTGGGGGTACGCTACCGAGGAACGATTGTGCTTGATCCCGAAGCCTTCCAAGTATTCAGTGAATCTCGAATTTCGGAATTGTGGGCCGTTGTCGGTGATGAGGTTCATGGGCGCTCCAAACCTCGTGATGATGTTCTTCCAAACGAATTTCTTGCATTGTTGCGTGGTGATGTTGGCCAATGCTTCGGCCTCGATCCATTTGGTGAAGTAATCGATGGCTACGATCACGAACTTCTTCCCTCCTTGGGCGACTGGGAAGGCTCCAATGATATCAACCCCGAATCTAGCGAATGGGATGACATTCGATACGGGGTGGTAGTAGGTCGCCGGTCTACCGGGATACTTATAGAATACTTGGCACGTCCTGCATTTCTGGACGTACCTTTCACAATCCTGGACAATTGTTGGTCAGTAATATCCCAACAAGATGATGCGCTGGGAGAGCGTACGGGACATTTGATGCGCCGCGCATACGCCTTCGTGGACTTCCGCAATGACTCGTTCAGCTTCCCGGTTGGTTAGACATCTCCGGAGTGGCCCCCAAATGCCCTTTTATACAGCTTTCCATCAAGAATCTGGAATCGGGGTGCCCTGAGCTTCACTTTTCTTGCCCGGTCATCTTGTTCTGGCAAGCTCCCATCCGTCAAATATTCCATCAGATCATACATCCAATGGTCGTCCGCCTCGACCAAGTTTGACCGGTCAAACTGGCTTCCGGCAGTTATAGCGGCGACTTCCAATTTCTCGATGCTTGCATGGTCAAGGATCTCTACCCGGGCAAGTTTCGAAACATGCTCGGGAGCATACTGCGTCAATTTGGAGAGAAGGTCTGCATCTGCGTTCTCCGCCCGGGGAACCTGGGCAATCTTGAACTCTTCGAAGCCTTTCAACAGGGCAAGTACAAGGTCCTTGTATTGTGCCATGCGTCCTTCCCTTGCTTCCATGTTACCGGTCACCTGCCCTACTATCATGCTAGAGTCAGATTTGATACTGACCCGGCTGATTTTCAGGGCTTGGGCAAGTCTGAGCCCTCCAGCCAGAGCTTCATATTCCGCCTCGTTGTTCGTCAGCTTGAAGTTGAAGACGATTGCATGGTAGATCTTGAATCCTTCTGGTGTGGTGAACACGATACCACCCCCGCCTCTAGGACCGGATGCCCCATCAACTGCCATCTCCCACCATTGCTCAGTGGGCTTGTTGACCGGTAAGTCTAGAGTTAGACCGGTCATTTCTACAAGGAAGTCAGCTAGGGCCTGCCCCTTGATTGCTGACCTGGGCCGGTACTCAATATTGAATTGAGTTAACATCATTGCCCACTTCACCATCCTCCCGGAGGATGTTGAATTTCGCAACACTGCACCCAGCGGTTGGTCAGTTAAGACTTCTACCGGGTGAGCTTGGAAGTAGGATGTTAACTTTTTTGCGGAGATGAAAAGCACGTAGGCTGTCTTTTCCATCGCCGTATATCTACTCTCAGCCCCGTTTAGTGCCTTTCTCACATAATAAATGGGCTTTTGTGCCCCATCATCTCTTATTAAAACGGAGCTTACAGCATTTGGGGAAATTCCCAGGTACAGGTACAGAAATTCCCGGTTCGGGTTTAGACAATACAATATCCGACGCTAGGTACTCTTTCAGCTCCTCGAATGCCCTCCGGCATTCTTCGTCCCATGCAAATGTGTTGGCCTTCTTCAGAACTTTGAAGAAGGGCAGGGATCTCTCAGCTGACCGGGAAAGGAACCGGCTGAGGGCCGCTAAACGACCGGTCAACTTTTGAACATCCCTAACGGAGGTAGGGGCTTGCATTTCAGTGATAGCCCGGATTTTCTCTGGGTTGGGCTCTATCCCTCTCTTGGTCACCATGAATCCCAAGAACTTCCCGGTACGAACCGCGAAGACGCATTTCTTAGGATTCAGCCGGAGGTTGTACCTTGCCATGATATCGAA